TCGATATTCAATGCCCTAGCACTAAGTTAATCCCATGAGTGCATAAAAGATTGACATAACTGCTATAATGAATGGTAATACTCAGCGTAAACTTGTTATGTCAGGCATAAAGTACTAAACCCACGAATGCATATTACGCATATTACAATTTACGAAGCATTTTTAAATTCTCATGAGCAAACAAACGTTCACTTTACAAAGATATTTTAATTTTTTAAAACAAATTAATCACCCTGTCAAAATCCTTTGTGTTACGGCATTGAAATTCGAACAATACGGTATTTCAATGATTTTGGGTTTTTTTGAGACACCCTGTACATGGGTGTATAAAAAAAGCGCAACCTCGGAATTTCCCAAGAAATCCACATTGTTTTAAAGACAAAAGATTTTAGGCGCCTGGGAATTTAAAATTGCACAACTGTCAAAATTACTGCACACGCGAGTGCATAAAGCAAAATTTATGCATTTATTTAATGCACAACAACAGTAATATAATCTATTAACAATCCAATTCCCAGGGGCCTAAAATCTTTTATGCTTAAGAATTGCAAAGTGATTTCTTAGGAAATTCCGATCGAGGTTGCGGGTTTTTTTATACACCCTGTATAAGGGTCTTTTCATGTATGTTTGCAATTGAATTAATATGTTTGCACTGGGATTAAAATTCAGTGTTTTGACTGTAGGATATTAGGAACTATGGACCAAAATAGGAATTAATTAAATGATTTTTTCAACGAGGCATACATGCATTCGGTGCAGTTTTATACTGCTGCAAATAAATTGATTCCAAGTTTGGTAATTTAGTGAGCCGCCCATGTAGTATGTATATACATAACCACAGGTTTGCCCAAAACCGACGAACGGAAAACATCCTTATTCTCACGCGATTGCATGCATATAGATTTATTTAAGTGACTAATCATAACGTGCAACCTAATTGAAAAATCTTTTTAATCCCTGCTTGTATATATATATTAGCATAAAAAATATATATATATATATAGTTTGAATTCTAGGTGATATTATAATTTGCACTGATGAAGATTCGTGTCTTACAGATGGAAAGCTTTGCTATGAGATAAAAAAAATGTGCATGGTGTTTCCCACAAAATATAACAAATCTATTTATCGCACGCAAACAAGAGATCGGTTCTCTTTTATATATAGCAATTAGTATTCTTGCAACTGAGAGCTAAGCTGAATTGCGAGGGACACAGCTCAACCTGATCGAGTCGAAGGCTTTCTAAGGGCGCCTCTGCCAGCCACCTTCTGACTCATGTCTGATCATGGAGTACAGCTACGATGGAAGGGTTCAGTTAGGGGGATAATCCCAATCCACCCAGTCAACATTCCGTGTGGGTGGAAACCGGATGCCCGGAGAAAACCCACGACTTTCGGCAGAGCGTTGACTGACTCTTTTCACATAAGTGCCACGAGTCCGTATAGCGAGAATCGAAGAAGATACTAGAGTTCTTTCTATACAACATCGTAGACCATGCAATGTAGTATAGTTACGCCATATAGAGCCGAAATTGTGTAATGTCCAACAATGCCTGTACACTTTTATATAATACCTCAGAGACTCGTGATAATGCAAATTGTTTAGAAACCACCAATCTATTTTATACTGACAGGTTTTTGAAAGGAAGCCCGACCATTTTTGTTTCTTACCGACTATGGCTTACGACCTGTTGCCTAAATTGCAGGTTGTTTTGAATATGCATGTAAATAAGCGTCTCTCTAAAGCCGCGTATAACAAGCAACATCACGAAACAAGGAAAACTAATGCTTTACGTTACATAAATATCTTTTAGATGCGTTAAACAAGTCGAATTACATGGACAATGGCTGGCTATCGCAAGGTATGATGCATTTAGTTTTTTCTTTGTTAAAACAAGTTAACTGTTTGTCGCTATTTCTATAATGTATGGTTTATGTTGGTGTTTATTCCTAGCGTATTCAAGCGAACAAAAAATATAACTGTGTTGCCATATCTGTGTTGCTATATCAAAAAAATTTTATGTGCTTACATGTGAAAATATATGTCGTATGTTATACATATACTAAGTTTTCCCAAGTTAAACATTTTGGATTTTGGTTATATATTAATTACGTGCTTAATTTGTCTGCAACAAAACGTAGTTTACTTTATGCATTGATGATTTTTATTAACATTTTTAATTGCAATGTAAAGTTACTAAGTGTAGTAAATGTTACAAACTCGTAATATATCCGTATCTAGATTCAATTTATGCTACTTTTTGTTCAAAAATTTAGAGTAGCGCCAATAAAAGTTTGATTATATATCGTTTATTTCATGCGTGGCTTAGTAACCTGCTAGACAATACAGACTACAAAATATCTTCATGACCACCTTGGTAGACAGGACAGTGTCTGATCGAGGTTTAATGTTTATTAAATTCATTATCTGCCTCCCCTGCCTTTCCACACACACGATAGCTTCAGAATTTTTCTTTGCCAAGTTTTATTTGCTGCTGTGTTGGTTGGAACTCAGTATAAATATTGCTTGTATATATATGTTATTCGCATTTACCCTGATGATGGACGTTTAGTCCGGAAGCTCGGTTAATCTTAATCCTTTTTATTCTTTTTAATTCGATTTTATTAAAATATTACTAGTCAGTCGAAGCTTTTAAACCGTATAAACTAATTTTATTAACACTGGATAGCTCTATCAGTTCTAAACTGTTCTTCCTAGATCTAGAGGTCCAGTAAGGATCATCTCTTATTGATCCAGTGTTACTACAGGAGGAAACCTTAACTAAACTAACTTTATTTATACTGGATAGCTCTATCAGTTCTAAACTGTTCTGCCCAGATGGCCACTGTACTATTATGGTCCTCGATATCTTTACTAGAAATAAGACTTTCTTGATAATTATTTAGTATTCGTGTTTCTTTTTTCCAAGGAATTCAAGCTTTTCATGGATGTTCCATAGCTGTGAATATAATATAGCCTTTGCAACAAGATGGATCAAGCTCACGATGACGAGAACAAGATCAGCGCGGGGGAAAACTCAACAAATTCCAAGAAGACAGAAACTTTGGACAGCCCACAGTTCCAGGAAATGGTGCAAGGTTTTGTGGTTGAAAAAGAATTACTAGAAAAACGACACAAAGACGAAATCGAGAAATTGAAGGAGAATTTTTCTAAGAAAGAGAATGTTCTTTCTGAAAGCCATGAAGGAGGGCAGGTTCATGGTGAAACCAGTCAGTTTGGTCACAGTAGCAGTACCATGGTGGGCCAGTCGATGCAGTCGCAGATGATGGCGAATGGCACCAGGTACAGTGAAACAACTGCTTTACACAAGAATTTGCATTTCAAAGTGCTGCCTCTATTTTGAAAGCTATACAAAAATTCTAATTTGAAAATAATTAAGTATAAATAGCCGCGGATAGAAACAACGTGAATTCTCGCATGGAAATATGAAACCTCGATGTTTGTCAAAAGCACTTGAACTTAAAATGAATAAAATTGCAAAGTTTGATTGCGAAATGTTGTAAAATGAGGAAAATATAGCCCTGTGAAGTTCGCAAATTTTGTATATATTTGCATTACGCGTGGGAAAAATAACCATTTTTTTTAGTTGAAAGTGGTTATTTTTGCCGCGCGTAATACAAATATATACAAAATTTGCGAACTTCACAGGGCTATATTTTCTTCATTTTACAACATCTAGCAACCAATATCTTTGCAGTTTTACTCATTCTAAGACGCTCTTTCTAGCTGTAGTGCTGGATTTCGTTCTTCTTGCCTTGATCAAAATTTAGTCTGTAGCTGAAATCACCCATTGTATAATTTATTATTTGTGTTTCAGTTCTAGTTACCAAAATGAAGAGGCGTACAGTGGTAGCCAGTTACATGGTAATCACTCTGTTGTAACTGGTAGCTATGGTACACATTCCCAAGAATTTCCATCTCGTTTACCATCTTCGTATCATAACCAACATTCTGGACAGTTGTCTACCATGCAAGGCGGTACAATTACAGCTGGTTCTCATGGGATGGTGAATGGTTTTACAGGACATTCTGGTCAAATTGGTGGCGACATTGGGTTGATGAATGGTGGGCTTAACCACTATCATTCTGGCCAAACACCCTCTAGTAGTCATTCAATGTTGAATGGCTTTGCAGGACATTCCAATCAAGTTGGTGTCCATCACCATAATGCACCATCCTATCAAGGGAATTCATATGGTGGTAGTGAATATAATGCTATCAATGGTACACATGTTGGTGCAAGCATGAATGGTACTTCACACCAACATATGAACGGGCACCATGCTTTCTCTTCAAAGGATACCAGTATTGGATACCATGCTACAGCATCCGATCACCATACCAATGGCATATACCATGCTTCTGGTGTGAAAAACCCTCACCATTCGACCACTTGGAATCCGACATTCTACACGCATAATTTGTACCCTCCAAGAGATATCACTGGGATGAAATCCTCGTCAGGAGGCGATGTATACGGCGTTAGTTTGGAGTTGATGAACGGACCTTCAATGCGGGTCAACACTGAGAACCTAGCGAGTCAAATTCGGCCTGATCTTGACCTAGAAGACAGACTCGAACAACAGCGGGAATTTTTACAACAAAGATTTGCGGAGGAAAAAAGACACCTAAGGCAAATTGTGCATGAGGAATTCACGAGAAAATATGAAGCTGAAAAACGGAAGCATGATGAGATTATTCAAAGTTTGAAAAAGACAAATGTGGAATTGGAATATCAGAGGAGAGAGTTTGAAGTCAAAATTAGACACGAACGGGAAAGTTCGGAATTAAAATTTGAAAGCCAACGGACGGAGCACGAGCGAAAGTGTCGGAAACAGTCGGAGGAACATCGGAGTAAAAGGGATTCAAAATATGAAACGGAAATCGTACAACAGAAGAGAACGTATGAGGGGATTGTTGAGAAACTAAAGAATGATATTCAGTCGTTAACTTTGCAACTCGAAGAACAAAATGAGAATTTGAAACGCGAAAAAGACAACGTTGTTGCAGCTTTTGAAAAAGAAATTGGTGAATTTAAGGAGAGGATGAGGGTTGAAAAAGAAAAGACCGATTCGGAACTTAGCGTTAAACTAAAAAGCGAAATAAGTTTGTTGACTTCTGTGAATAAAAGTCTCCGGGAGGAAATTGAAAATAAGGAACGCGAGAAGCAGGAATTGGAACGATTAATGAAAGAAGAACGATCAAGAAGCGAGTTGAATTATGAAAATCAGATTTCCGAAATTGAGTCGCATTTTGAAACGGAAAAACAGACACTTTTAATTCAATACGAGGAAAAAGTAACGCTTCTTTTGAAAAGCGAGAAAAGTGCGGTCGAGGAGAATTCTCAAAAATCTAGCGAAGAGTTGAATGCACTTAAAAAAGAAAATGAAACATTGAAGGAGATTGTTGAGAATAGTTATAAAATGGAACAAGAAGCAAGTTTAGAACGAGATGAATTAGTGGAACGTTTGGTCGAAGAAAAGGACATGTTAGGAGCACAGTTGCAACAACTTGTTGCTAAGCAACAGCATGGCGACACTCGTAACAAGCAGGAGTACGATAGGTTTATGTTGAGTGCACAAAATGAGTTAAAAGAATCGCGAGAATTTTCAACAAAGCTTCAGAGGAATTTGGAACTCGTCCAGGATGAGAAAGAAGCCCTTGTCTCCAAAATGGAAGGTTTACTAAGAGAGGTAAATGAACTAAATAAAGAAAAGTTGAATGGAAGTGCTGTTAAGGTTGAAAACGATAAACTATTAAAAGAAGTTACTAAACTCAATGAGGAAATTGACAAGATGTTTGAAGATTTACAGGAGAAAGGGAGAAAAGAGGTTTTGTTAAAAGAAAAGTCGAATGGAATTGAGGAATCTTTACATCAGCAGGAAACTGAGAACACTCAATTGAAACTTGAAAGAATGGAAAGTCAAAATAAGTTGGCTGTTTTGGAAAGGCAGACAGATGACCTGAAGAATGATTTGTCGACAATGAGGAGACGAAAGGTGGAACTTGACGAAGCGAATTGTAACTTAAAGAAAGAAAAGTCAAGCGTCGATGGAAAGCTAGCTGTTTTGCAGACAACTAATGATAGTTTACATCAAGAACTCCAAAAAGCTAAACAGACGATTTCACAACTTGAAGAAGAGAGTACTGCTTTGAAATTGGAAAAACTTGAGCTGCAACAGCAAATACGATTGGCTAAAATGCAAGAGACAAATTACCGCGATGTCGCTCAAAGGTTAAACGCCATAAGTGATAGTGATACTAGTGGATCAGTTCTAACTAGCGCTGATGAGGCGGCTGAAAAGAATCACGCGAGACAAACAAAGAAAAAGTCGAGTCTAGAAAAACAAATTTTCAAACTGAAACGCGAGAAAGCCGAGTACGAATTGAGAGTTGAACGTTTGAAACAGGATGTGGGATCGTTGGAGCGAGAGGCGCTCAAGCAGATTGAACATAATAAAGCTGTCTCTGCAGAGTTTGTTTCAGCCAAGAAAGATTTTGAAAAACAAATGGCTGATCTTAAACGACAGAGAGAGGCCTTGGAAGCGTCCATTGTTGAAACACAACACGAAGAGAAAGGTAAGTTTTCGTAGTTGTGTTGGTGATGCAGTGATTAACATATGTTCCTTTTCAGCCGAAGAATTTAGTTCTTGTAATATGCACTGTCTGACTATAATTTCACCTTGTGAGAAGAATGATCCTTACTGGACTTCTAGGGAGAACAGTTTAGAACTGTTAGAGCTATCCAGTATAAATAAAGTTAGTTTAGGTTTCCTCCTGTAGTAACACTGCATCAATGTAAATTGGAAAGTTGTTTTTTCTTCTTTTATTAAGCTATTAAAAACATCATGACGATGTTGGAAAAAGAGAAAGCAGAACTAAAACACAGTGTGGACTTACTCCGCTCGGAGGAAGAGCGCCTGATGCAAGCCAGCGAGATAGAAACACAACGCATATCTGAAGATCTTGAAACGAGAGTCCAGCAACTTCAACAGCAGATCACAGGCTTGGAATCGAACAAGCCAGAAATACAAGAAGACGTTGAGAGGTTAGAGCGCGACGAAGCAACGTTGCGTTGCAGTATTGAAGAGTTACAACACGAAAGTCAATTGTTGTCGCAACGTATTTCACAAATGAAGGAATCTGTGCTGGATACTGGAAGGAAAAGAGTTTCCTGGGGTGAAGATAAGGTAGGCTGCTCTATTTAAGGGTCATATGACACCTGGCTACTAATTAGAGTTTTCAAATCCATATTTACCTTGACTATTTAATCTATTAATATTTACTATAACCTATTTAATTATGTATGTAATTGTATTAACTGCATGTAAGTAACTGTATTTGTATGTTTAATTTTTCTAAATTTTTAATGTAAATTTGAATTTAATGCTACGCCCCCCTTAGAAATCAGCTTTTGCTGTAGGGGTTAGCGTAGTAAAATAAAGTTTTACCTACCTAACCTACCTATATCAGCCCATTTACCCAGACCTGCTGGTTGCTGACCTCGTCCTTTAGTAATTTTATGTACTTTTTATAATATGGTACGGATCGACAAAACATTTTTGAGGCCTCCCTTAGCCAAACACAAGCTTTAGCAGCAGATTTACGAATCGGCATATCATAGTTTCCGATGGTGAATTAACAGTCCATCCGTTACGAATGGTACGGATTGACAACATTTTCGAGGCCCTCCTTAGCCAGACACAAGTTTTAGCAGCAGATTTACGAATCGACATATCATATTTTCCGATGGTAAATTAGCAGTCCATCAGTTACGAATGGTACGGATCGATGTTCAGTCCTCACCAAACGTTATGACAAAACAACCCTTCCATCCGTAGCCAAAATTTCACGAAAACGAACGATCCGTATGCATGCGACAGTATTGGACAATCATCAATTCAGCATGACGCTTGTGATTTCTTTTGTGTTTTCCTTGTGAATTACTCATGAGTTTCACAAACAAATTTTCATCGCGTTCATATGAGGAAGCTTAGTTTCATGTTTAATTTGTAAAATAAATATTAGACATAAACTGGCATTGTTACTTGACATGTTTTACTACCTATCTTAAGGTGTCAGACGACGTATCGTCCTTGGGATATCATGAAGTCATGGAAGAAATTACGAAACTACGACAGGAGCGTGACGGCTTAATCCGAAAGGTGAACGAACTTGAACGAAAACAAACGAACTTGGACATCAGCGTCGAGAGCGCGGAGAAAAATCGCCATGTTTGCGAAAGAGAAATTAATGCTCTCTCCCGAAAGAGAGCTGAACTAGAGTCAGCAATTTTTGCCCTGAAAACGGAGAAATTTCAACTAGAAACGCGCGTCAACGAACTGTCGACGATAAGCGTCGAAAACGCTACGAATGCCCAACGAAAAGAGATCGAGATGCTTCGAAGTGAGCTCGATATTACCCGAGAGAGTTGCGAGGACATTCGATCGATGTATCATTCTGTTCAGAACGAGGGAAAGAACAAGGTAATTTTAATCTGTTATAATGCCAGACTCATCAGATTACGTTAACGTACAGAGACTTCGCTTCTTCTAACAAGTCTGATACAGTCATGATATGACAAGAATGTTACTAGGCTGACCACACAGGGTTGTAACAATATTGTTATATCATGACTGTATCGGACTTGTCTGATAATATCAATAAGCTTGTTACAAGATTGTTCTAACTAGTCTGATACAATCATGATATAGCATAAATACTACAAGATTGACTACACCAAGTAGTTACAATATTGCTATATCATGACTGAATCGGATTTGTTGGAACAACCTTGCTACAGGTCTGATAATATCAACAAACTTGTAAACTAGCTGTAACAAGCCGGATGGCATTATCAGACTTGTTACAAGGTTGTTCTAACAAGTCTGATACGGTCATGATATAACAAGAATGTTACAAGGTTGACGACATAAGCTTGTAACTATATTATTATATCATGACTGTATCAGACTTACAAGCACGAGTTCCGTACTTAACTGAGCAGTGAGTTCTGTAAAGCATCAGATCACTTTGAGGTAGTCCACATTCGAGAAAATGTGCTACCTCTGTATGGTCTAACAGTGCTTAACCCAGCAGCGAGTTCTGTACAACATCAGATCACGTTAGGGTAGCCCACATTCAAGAACATGTACTACCTCTGCATGATCTAGCCATGCATGCTTATTAACTCAGCAGTGAGTTCTGTACAACATCAGATCACTTGAAGGTAGTCCGCGTAAGACAGTTCTGACATTAATCTTTATCTTATATTTCCGTATCTCTTTATCTAGGTCGACGTGGTAGAAACGGAACTTCGCTTAGCAGAGGATAATCTGATGCGACTGAAGCGAGAGAGACTGGAACTTGAGAAGACCATTTCAACTCTGCTCCGTCAGAAGACTGAGCTCGAGTCTGAAGTAGCATTGATTGTGGACTCAAAATATCGCGAAGACAGAGATACTCGCGCTCTCCGTGAAGAGAGGCTAAACCTTGACACTGAGCTAGTAAGAATACGGAGTCAAATCTCGGAACTTCGCTCAATGTTGTCGAATCTCGAAGATGGCAAGACTGTAACCGAGCATGAGCTCCGAGGTCTGGAAGCTAGAAAGGAACGAGTGGATAGCTACGTATCCGGGATGGAAGCAAGGCTTCTGATTGGCCAGCAATCTCCCGTCTCGTGGAGTGTTAGCCCAACTAAGGATTATACATTGACTCCGCGAGATGACTTGGAGAAACAGGTTTTGGAATTACGAGAGCAAAAATTGTTTCTTGAAGCTGACCTGTTCACGTTGCGCAGGAAATCTGGGGACGGAATTGATACCAGGAACTGTGGGCATCGCGAGGGTGCTCTAGGAATGTCTAGGATGAATTTGGGGTGTGTTGGTGCAACAAGTGATTATGCAGGACAGTGTGGGTACAATCAAGGATTACATCAGGTAATGATAATGGTGAACAGGGAATTCAATTTAAGGTAGCTCAAAATTTAAGCTCAGAGTTTAAATCGTCGTCCTTTCAAAATGTTTACCGTTTTCAGAGTGACTATTGTATTGTATGTCATTAATTAGAATGCTCAATGGTTTCCGCAATTTTTAGTTTACAGTAGTTTAGACTGATTTTGTTTTATTTAGTTTAGTTTTAGTTCACAAAGGACATTCTGTTGTCGAAGAACAACGTGACTTCAAAAATTAATCTCTAAAGTACTTTCCTAATTCTGTTTCAGGACGTTGAAGGACTAGCTCAACAGAAATCAAAGCTCTCGTGTGAAGTGCAACAAATGCAGGTCAAGAAAACAGATTTGGATGCACAAATCACGAACTTGGAATACCGAAAACTAGGCTTGGAGCAGTCAGGAAGACTGGTGACAAGACGAGAAAATGAAGGCTTAGCTGAGCAGTCTGGGAGTCTGGTGACTAGGTGGGAAAATGAAGGCTTGACTGACCAATCAGGAAGACTGGTGACAAGGCGGGAAAATGAAGGTTTGACTGAGCAATTAGGAAGACTGATTACAAGGCGGGAAAATGAAGGTTTGGCTGAGCAATCAGGAAAACTGATGACAAGATGGGAAAATGAAGGCTTAGCCGAGCAGTCTGGGAGTCTGGTGACAAGGTTGCGAAATGAAGATTTGGAGCAATCAACGAGACTGGTGACAAGGCGGGAAAATGAAAGCTCCGAAGTCAAAGTTGAAGAAAATGTTACTGAAGAATATTCTGTCAAGGTAAACACAACCCCATTGTGAAATTACACCTGAAAACATTACTATGCATGTCCCAATTAAATTGGATAACTTGGTCAACTTAGAATGGTCAACTTATTCTAAGTTGTTGATTTTCAGATGGATTTCGTGAACTACAGTGTGGAACAGATGCAAGAACTAAGACAGAAAAATACGAGCTTAGAAAGTAAACTGAGCGCGTTGGAGAATCATTTACATGACGCTAAATTTGAAATGGAAAAGCAGACATTGGAATGTCAGAAAGAATTGAAACTGGTTCAAAATGCGGTGAGTGAAGTAGTGACTCTCCCAAGTAGGTAGCCTGCGTGTCAAGCTCTATGCTTGAAGTTAGTGACATATTGTCCAAGTACCACAATCGGTATCCGGTTATAATCCTGCAAAGCTGTGTCCAGTACATTCCTAATAATTCGTTTTCAATTTTATATCCTGTTAGCTTATGTCCCAGCAACAAAGCGAGTCGGGGCAACAGCAAGAAGTTAGTGTGATTGTTGAACGTTTGAAAAACTTCATCGAGGAATCACAATTGACCGAAACAGACCAAATTTATGAAGAAATTAAAGAGGAGATACGAAATTTGAATAGAAAGGTAATTTTATTGTAGAGTCCTACCTACAATGGACCACTTGATTTATGATTGTATAGATATGTAAGATGGTTGTCTTGTGTTCTAGGTGGAAGTGAATAGTCAGAAAATGAAAGCTATCCAGGAGAGGAATTGTAAAGAGGAGGAACACCCCTCGGAAATAAAGGAAACTACACACACTGTTGACGAAATCTGTGGACATGTAAGTATGCATTTGTTGTAAGTTTCTTAACGTTTTCTAACCTGGTGTAACTTTATTTAAACTGGTCTCACTAGAGGTCCAGTAAGAGTCATTGTCATCATTGATCTAGTGTTACTACAAGAGGAAACTTAAACTAAACTAACTTTGTGTATACTGGATATAGCTTTATCAGTTCTAAACTGTTCTCCCCAGAGGTCCAGTAAGGGTCATCTCTTATTGATCCAGGGTTACTACATGAGGAAACCTAAACTAAACTAACTTTATTTATACTGGATATCTCTATCAGTTCCAAACTGTTCTCCCTAGAGCTCCAGTAAGGGTCATCTCTTATTGATCCAGTCCTACAACATGAGGAAACTTAAACTAACTTTATTTATACTGGATAAGCTAAATCAATTCTAAACTGTTCCCCTTAGAGGTTCAGTACGACCCCTTATTGGTCAAACAGATTGCATTCTCAAATCAACATTAACCAACGGCAATCTTTTTCTTAGATACAAGACGCCGAATGGAACATGGAACGCTACAACGAAGTAGTTTCGCATTTGCAACAAGAAAATACGGATCTTATGGAGATAGTCTCAAGGTTGGAAGAACGGCTGACGGCCGCGGGAAAGTCTCATGAAATATTACAAAGAAAGAAAGTTATTTTACAACAATTGCTAGAAACTGTCAGCGTGAAGACTGGTGAAGATCTTGTGCAGCAATCTAAGATGATTTTTGAACTTGATAAAGATACGGCTATTTGATGTGTAAGGTATTAAAGTGCCAGCTTCCTAACGCAGAAAAATCCGCAATTCTGCCAACACTATTCAGAACAGGGTTATTTGTATAATGAAGACTCTTCAAAAAGTTGTTTATTCTCACGTGAAAACAAGAACTTGAAGGCGATTGACTAGTCGGACTCGAGAGCCTGTTCGCAGGCTAGACTGAAACCTGTCAAATGGTCTTCACAAACTTGAAATTTTCACACGAGTCTGTCAAGATATGATGGTCTGGAAACCCGGCAAAAGACACAAAATAGAAGACCTTTGTTTGATGTTGAACTGTACCTCACAGTGCACAAATCCTTTGTCTTAACTTCATTAAATCTTATTCATCGTGGTTGCACGTTTCATCTCAGCGATCCCTACTGGGCGGTCACTTCATTATACGAAAATACAATGAGCTCAATCACCGTGACCGTGCACAAATTAACATAAACTCCGACAAAAACATAATACAATGACTGCTGTTCAGTTTCCACATCATCAATCTTGATAGCCTATGGAATAGATAATGTCGGAACCGGATATTGTTGCACCGAAGTACATATAAGTAGACACGAGAAACGTGTACACACTACTGAATTTGTAAACGAACACCATGCATTCAAAATGCTTTTTTTTCACTTTTGCACAAAACAAATAGTATACTAATATTATAATAATTAATATTATTATATTTAATATCTATATGTCTGCTTCAAAGCCAGACTATATTATCAATTTATGCTCTTTGTTACGCAATTTATGCTATTTTCTGTTCACTTCTTTAGCAAGAAATTGTTCAAAGTAGTATCTTCTGTACATACAGAACACATTTTGTTAGCGCTGTAATATACTGGGTAAATTTTATAGATTTTTAAAACGTCTTTGATTTTTTCTTTAATGTTCCTTAGAAAAAAAAACACACTACGTTTTTATATATCAGTTAAGTCATTTCAGATCATTTATATCCTGAATGTTTTAACAATTCGTAATTGGTTTAAACCTCGTATAGTGATCTACAGTAATACAGTTAAACTTTTAATATGGTCAAACAGTGAGAATTCTACTATATATAAAGATATAAAACTGTATTTATTCGCTACATATTCACACCAGTAATTCAGTCCTGAAATCTAACATTTTATTTGATCGCCAACAACCCAGCGGTGATTTGCTAATCGTCGACGCATGCGCACAACTTTGGAATCCAACAGAGCAGCCTCGCTCTTGTCACGTGCGTCCGCATCCAGACGCAGTTTGGTTAACTTTAACAAGCCAAGGTTCCGATCTGTAGCGTTCAGAGAGTCGAGCAAGCCATCGTTGCCTGCAATGATATCTCTGGCCTCGGGTAGCTGGTTTCCTGGGTGTCGTTGGAATACGCAAACGACAGGACGGTCCAGCTTTTCACGAGTCGTCAAGTCTGAATAAGTTACTGGACCCTAAAAGCATAGAAAATGTGAGTCAGTATACGGTTCCTCAATACCCGATGTACAAGTAACTATAAAACGGCTACCTACCAAAGCATAGCCCATGGATAGTCCAGTTGAGTGGAACCACCTCTGACCTCTATTGATCGCCATCTTTGTCTGGCCTGAGCTCACTTGCAAATGTTGCTGCAATAAGAAAAAGAGGACCCGATGAGGAAGTAGATGTGAATTTACGAGATGGCGAGATGAGGAATCAAGAGAGAAGATGATGTGTGGTGGTAGACATTCGCAGAGAGGGAGATTGTTTGGGTAAATATGATTTAACCCTCCAACATTGAGATCGTTTGGGCACGTAATAAGAAGCGATGAACGAGATCTGCTCAGAGACGTTACAGAATGAAGAGATCAGAAGATGTGGGGTGGTAGACATTGCAGAGAAGGTGAGGGAAGCAAGGTTGAGATGGTATGGACACGTAATAAGAAGAAATGAAGGAGAGCTGGTCAGAGTCATTATAGACATTGTAGAGAAGGTGAGGAAAGCAACCTTGGTTGAGACAGTATAGCTAGTATGGACAGGTAATAAGAAGAGATGAAGGAGAGTTGGTTAAAGACATATATGGAGCAGGATATATAACTATATAAGGGAACAGAGCCAGCAGGGACCGAAGACGAAACGGACCTTGTAAAAGAAGAAAGAAGACGGTGATATGGCAAAAGATAAAGGATAAAAATTCAACCAATTGTACCTTAATATTAACCGTCTCTGCTACTTTCTGTGTCAAGCCATGGTTAACAGAAAAATGTGTCGAGTGTTGTAACTGATTGGCATCTTCTATAGCTTCATTAACAGATCTCCTCAGCCTGGCTGAAGATTCTCTAGCCTGCGACGCACTCGAGATAGATTGGGCCGCTTCCGGAGTGTAGGGACCTAGTGGTTCCACAGGGGGCGTCTGGGGTTTCTCAAGGAATCGATCTCTGCTGCGGTTCGGTGAGCCCTTCACGGAACTGACAGCTTGGCATATAAGGTCGGTCGCTTGAGATCTCTCTTGAAGGACGGCTGAAAGTCTTTGACGACAGCTGTCTAAATGGTGAAGTTGCTTTTGCACGGAACGCAGTTGGTTCTCAAGCGTACGTTTCAGTTTGAGAAGTCGTTGGCGTTCGTTTGTAAGCAAGTTATCTGCGCCATCTTGTAACTATGAAAAGACAAGAATAAGTTATCATGGCACTAGATACAAATAATCCGTTTGGACAAACTCTACAAATGCTTTCCAATTAAAATAGAAAAATAAGTATGGGTCCAGTGATCACAGTTTATGTTTATGGATGTACCAGTAATCCTACTATCTTTTGTTGGAAAATTCGCGCAACCAAACACAACTTTTAGCGTCGATTCGCAGACCTTATATACCAATTCACACCGTCTGCATACAGGCTACTAATCATGAAATTCTGAGTCTGTGTATAAATCCAATTTAGAAGCACGCTTCTGCCAAATTAATAATTCTCAAAAAAAGACGATCTGTCTGAGTCAAATTATACATATTTTCGAAGCAATTAAGCCGTCTATTGACCATTGACATGTCATTCATCGCAGACACGCAAAAATGTAAACTATGCAAAATTCGACGATGCGTATCAAACATTCGATGTTGCAAAACGGAAAATTTTTATTGTAACATTTTTAGTATAAACTTGCTACAGTGTTACATGAGATTCATTTTCGATTTGTTTTTAATTAATAAATAATGTGTTGTTAGGAATCACAAGCTAAGCCGTTGAATTTACAACGTAAACAAAGCGATAAGTTTATGAATATTTTAAGAGGCGTCGTCTTGACTACGGCGTTGTAAACTTGCTCGCCAGCTCAATAAAGCATCTTGTACTTTGTATAATTTTCCATCTTAAATTTGCATCCAATATTTTTACATAAAATCACACTTTGTCCTACACAAATTTATGATAAACGGTAACAGATTCGCTGTTAAAATTAAGCTTTAATTAATAAAATTGGCCAGACAAAGTCTAAATCTCCAAATGATCACAACTGTTTATATGTCAACGCAAAAATTAAACACGGAAAATTTAAAGATCACAAATACACACGTTTCAAAAAAGACTAAAATCTAACGCCCTGGAGACTAAACAGTACCGATGGAAAATAATTAAGTGTTAATATTTATACACACAAAACGTCAAAGCGTCTTCAAATTAACATGACAATATAAAATGTTATAATTTAAATCCCTAATAAATTCATTATTAAAAAGGCAAAATTATAGTTTCAAAAAGTCATTCCTTTTGCAACAAAACAACCGATTGAAATGCTACTTTTCAGTTTTCAATAGCAATACTTTTGTATATATTTTCAGGTTATGAAAGCAATATTTGAGCAAATATAATATAAATTTTAGCCTAGCGTTATATTTAATACAAAATGGTGAACTAATGGGAATTATAAACTCGGTAAAATAAAACGTTGTGTTAAAGAATCTGCATAGATACACATCTTTAAAGAACCCAATGTAGATTTAAAACCTACCCTTTCTCTGGGGGGACGCTTAGCACGAACTTCACAGGATCTTTGGTTGAGCAACAAGTCTTTTCTGACATGCTCTAAAGCTCGCTCCAAACTCTCCTTACACCGTGTGAGCGATTTTATTTCTTTATTGGTATCGAGAAGGCTTTCGCGTAACTTGACAACAACCGCTCTCGTAGCTCTGACATAAGCGTGAATTCTAGCATTACTTTGCTGGATACAATTGTCTCGTAAGCTTGGCAACGGGTCGAGTTCCTTGCCCAATTCACATGCATGTTCGCTTCTGTCCATGACGGCCTTGCCCAGCTGTAGATTTTTAACGCTCGCTTTCTTCCACGAGTCTGAACCGATAGTAGCACGTGTAACTTCCATCCTTAAAACGCCTAAGTAATTTTTCGATATTTTCTCGAGCCGGTTTCTGCCAAACAATGTAATCAAATACTAGCGAAGCCTTGCTTTTATGATGGAATGTTGTTGATTGACTGATGTTGCTATGGTGATCTGATCTCGCGCCACATCGCGCCAAATTGGTTGTAACAAATTTATTCCGCGCGCGTTCTGATTGGCTGCGTTCATTTTTCTGAGGGTTTTTCCCTATGGTTTTTCCTGCACGGGTATTGACCAATCAAATCGCGTTTTCTACACTGTCGTTATTAGATGATATAACAGTGGTTCTGATTGGCTGCGCTCGTGTTTCTGAAGTTTTTCGCGGTGAGCCACTTTATGATTGGTTACATAAAGTTCTTTAAAAATCCAATATGGCGTTCGAGGCAGAAAAAGAGAAATATAAAATAGCTTTATCAACAACGAGAGATGTACGTAATCTGGTCGATAGTGCTTTTGAAAATGCCATCAAAGATTTTTCAACGGAAAAGACAAAACTTAAAGACACACTGGTGAAATTAGAAAAGAAATTAAGGTAGATGTTTGGCAATTTTATATATCAATGTTCATTCCGAGGGGGCTCAAGAGGGGGGGGGGGGGGGCCCTTTTTCCTTTCC